ATCATCGCCATGAGCGCCATCATCAGCATTCAAGAGACCAACATCATCATTACAACCAACATCGCCATCATCGACCTCGGCCCCCTCCTCCTTCTCATGACCACCACCATTATATTCGTTAGCCGTATCATCGTCGTTACCACCATCCTCTTCACAATTCTCACCGTCATCCTGGTCAGCAACATTCATACCACCATCAATACCGTTACTATTACCATCTCCATTGCCGTAATTGCTATCATATTGTGTATAGTTGCCACCCTGCTCTGCCGCGCAACCATCATCAATATCGGCATCAACAGCATCATCATCATCAACATCACACTGCTAACCGTTCTCGTTGCAGTCATCGGCCTTGAACTCTACACCATTGTCCTAGCCGTGATCACCATCGTCAGCGCCACCATCGTCATCGCCATAGCGATCGTAATCATAACATCGTCAGTAACATCATCTTTCTCAGCATCACCATGGCCACCATCACTTTTTGTTTCAACATCGTTACCATCATGTCTATCATAGTCAGTCTCGTCATATGCATCCTCAGCACCAGTGTCACCCGAATCATCGTCGTCATCATTACCACCATCACAATCATCGTCACCATCATTTGCTCTTGCTTGGGTGTTCCCTCTATGCTTCGGGCCTCGGTTTCCTGTTCGGTCGTTGTCCCTCCGCCGTTCGGTCCCTCTTGGCCCTCGTTTCGTGTCTTGTCGGTCCCTCGTCGGGCCCTCGATGTTACGAGTATTGATCTAGCTCTAGCCAACGGCCAAATAAATTCCTCGCCCTCCTTATCCTCGCTCTCCTTACCCTCGCACTCCTCATCCTCGCACTCCTCGCCCTCGCACCCTCCATCCCCGCTCTCTCCATCATCCTGCTCACCAACCTCGCCCTCTCCCTCGTCCGTGAGTCGAGCGTCCCTGGACGGCGGCAAGGGGTGCTTGCTCCCCTGGAAGGCAGGGTCGAGCGTCCCTGGAGGGTGGTGAGTCGAGCATCCTCGGAGGACGGCATGGGGATGCCGCCCACCCCACCAGCGCCGAGTTGCGCCCCGAGGGGGACAGAGGAAGAGGAAGTGGTGCAGTCCAGAGGCCCCCCCCCCCCCACACAGAAGTTAAGAGGAAGAGGAGGAGGTGTAGGAAACCAAAGCGATCGAAAGGGGGGCGTGGCAAAAAGGGGGGGTAGCCGAGGAGCTGGAACAAAGCACGTCTCGAACAAGCACCAGCACAAGCCCCAAGCATGTCTGCAACAAACCATACAACAGTCTCAAACAAGAACGACGCAAACCTCAAGGACGTGCCAAACAAGTCTCAGACAGGCCCCAAACCAGTCCTACACAAGTACCAACAAGGTCTTAACACGTCCAAGCACAGGCCTCGAACATTCGTCAACAAGTCTGAAACAAGTCTCAAATGCGCTGGGCGTTGCCTTCGATGATTATTTGCGCTTCGCGCATCCCTGTCAGCGCCAGCCCTTCCAGAAACGACGCCCAAGCGAATTGTCTAGAGTATAGACATGGTGCTACGATAAACATGGTGCCCCAGTGTGTATGGCGTAACCAACGGCATAACAATTACATATTGCGCCAATTGTGCCGTGCCGTGCCGTGGCCATACCATAGTATAGCATAGCACTGCGTTGCTCAGCATTGCACAATCAATGCGCCGCACAGCAGTGCAACATACGGCACGCACATAGCATAGCACCGCACTGCACAGCATGGCATTGCATTGCGTAGCTGGCATAGCATGCACGTTGAACACTCTGCTAACAGCAAACAACACGCGTGAAAACGCAGCCGTTTTGGCTCTGCTCTGTGTTGCTGCAGGTGAGGTCCTAACCGAGTTCCCTGGTCGCTCTTCGCGCTGGAACCACATCCACGGCGACGGCCAGGGAGAGGCTCGCCCGCAAGGTTGTCGAGAGGCAGCTCGGCGGTGCGGCTGTAAGCGAGGGCGGTGACGACAATGGCGACGCTGGCTCGGTCAGGACCCTGGGCGCTACCACCGTGGCTACTGGAGTGAGTGGAGCCCCGAGGAAGAGGAAGTCAAAGGCCCAGGATGCCAAGGAGCAGCAGGAGAAAGCTGCCAATATTGCTCGTCAGTCAAGGTCGGTTTGCTGCTTTGGCACCTGCGGCAAGAAGTTGACTGCGAGTGACATGAGGGAGAACAAGATATGCTGCCCAGTCCATTACAAGCCATGGGCCATCGGGTACGCGTACATGACAGAGGAGGAGGCTGGAACGAAGTACGGCGACGATCCATCATTCAGGAAGGCCTTCGACGACTCCTCGAAGTACATGGTTGACAACGAGATCGAGGTAGACAGATTCTCTCCGAAGCAGGTCGAGGATAGCTCTGAGCAGAAGGCTTCCTGCCAGCGTATCCTTGGCTTCTGGACTCTCCCTGAGATCTTTAACCAGTTTAAATATATGCCAGAACAGCTCGGGTACAAGTGCTTCAAGCTGTGGGGCGAGTTCGGCACGCCCACCTTGGGCGTTCTCACAAGCGATCTTGAAGGAGCCCCCCGGACGTTCACCTTCGAGTTCTCCGAGATGTTGAGTTTGTCGAATCTTTTGGCCCGCCCAGCCTCTACTATTCACGATGGGCAATGCGATTTGGCATACGAGAGTGCCGCGGGCAAATTCCACGGTCAGCTCGACCCCAGCGGCAGCACTATCATTTCTATGAGTACCTTGTTGTCTCGGGCTGCGAAGAAGGAGACAGATAAGAAGGAGGCGGAGCGCCAAAAGCAGGAGGAAGAGGATGCGGAGCTTCGCGCCCTCAGTCTGCATGACGACTCCAGTCAGCTCGACAATGGTCGGGGCCCCTCCGCGAGGTTCGAGGCTGACGAGTTCGAGAAAGACGCTGACATCCTGTCCGTTGGGGCCGAGCCTGCTGCTGTGACCCCAGAGAAGCCTCCCTCGAGCGGCCAAGCACTCCGGGCCTTGTCAGGAACAAAATCCTTGGACAGCCTTCCGGACCCGAGCGTTCAGGAGCTCATGCCCGATGTCGCAGAGCTTCTGAAAAGCGACCCTATCAAAGCGAAGTGGGTGTTGCAGCTGTCAAAGGTCAATTTCACGAAGGCCCTCGCTGGGAGGACACCTGGCGGCCACGGCAGGGAGAGGAACACGCTGAAGGGATACATCACGGAGGCCGAGAACATGGGGCGAGAGGAGGCAGTCATGATGAAGGAGCACCACGACTTGCACAGGCAGTGCGAGCAGTTCTCTACCGAGCAAGGCTGGCCCAATGCATCGGACGAGGAGCTTGGTTCGTTCGCGGCTGACCTCAAGAAGCACAACGTCGACCTTCCTACGTCTGCGAAGCTTAGCTGCATGTCCCGAGCATTGCGTGATTGGACGCAGCTTCAGCACAGCATCGAAGACAAGGCCGCGCAGCTCCTGAGCATGATCACTCCGTGGCCCTTGGACGGGGGCAGCGTGGGCAGCTTCGACCCCGAGAACCCCCTCGCTCGGCACATCGAGGGCAGCCCTTCCGAGAAGACGGAGAGGTTGCGGGAGTGCTTGATCTCGAAGATCCTCGCGCCCATGATCAGAGATGGCGCGCCCTCCCATGACTCGCTGCTGCGAGTCGTCCACGTGGTCTTGGACATGATCACGGCTGCTTCTGACAGCAAGCATATCGACTTCGAGGTCTACGAGGACCACGCCGACCAGATGATGTCTATGCTTCGGGCGGTCCTGGTTGTGATGGAAACAGACACCGTGAAGCTCAAGGAATACAATGCCACCTCGAAAGACTACGACCGCTTGCAAGAGTCGACAGGGCAAGGCGGGATGTCCAATGTGTTGACGGCCATGAAGCAGATTTCTCACTACAAGGCGTTTCTTGGAGAGTTCATTCGCACTCGCAAGGATTGCGAGACCTACTTGCCACGCCTGGAGGAGTATGAGCAGAAGCTGTCCAGCAAGACCGAGTACAGCTTCCAGGATGACATGGCCATGATCATGCAGGCGTGGAATCTCATTAAGCAGACGCACGGTAAGCTTCGGAAGGGCCAGGGCACCAAGCTCAGATCCCAGGCCGAGCAGGCTACACTCCAGATCGCGGGCAGCCTCCCAGATATGATCGAGCAGGGCAGGTTCCCGCCCGAGAGGAGTGCTGAGCTCAAGGGGCTGGTGGATATCACCTCTCAGATGTCCTTCGCGCTGCCGGAGCGAGACTTGTTCTCGAGTTATGTCGTGCGCATCCAGCAGGAGAACAGCATTGGAAACCACGTCGGCACGATGATCAAGTGCATGCGAGCGTTCCAATGCGATGTTGAGCGCGAGACTCGCGCTGCTGACATCAAATCTCTTCATGCCCAAGTCAAGGCGTACAACGAGTTCGGCGTGCAGTCGTTACCTGAGGACCTGTCAGACAGCATCGACCAGTTCATGGTCAAAGTGATGATTGCCATGGGGAGTGGCGAGGACATGAATATGATTCAGGCCGTGCTCGACTACATTCGGCTGGTGTGCGACCTTGGTCTCTCTCTCATCGCTTTGAAGGGGGATTTGTCAGAGCAGATGGTGCAGTTCAAAGTATGCCTGACCGAGTTGTCCAACATCCATTGGGACCTCGTGGCGGTCGTGGGCTTCAAGAAGCACGGAGCCACGGCGGAGGCCATGTGGCAGCGCAGCAAGGGCAAGTCGGAGCTCGGCCAGTTCGTTGCCGCGAGTGCGGCCATGACTGAGGCCCACTGGCACCGATCTTGCGGCTGCCCTATAACTGATGCGCGCGGCTGTGCCTCCCCCTTCCCTTCCGCAACCTCCCAACCACCCCTCTCGACGTTCTCCCCTCCTCTCCCCTCCCCTCTCCCTCCTTCCCTCCCCTCCCTTTTTCCCCTGCTCTCCCTCGCTCTCCATCCACTTCCAACTTTCCTCGCCTCCTCTCGCCCTCCCCCCTCCTGTTCACTCAAACAGCTGGCCTCTGCGGAGGGGCAGGCGGGGGCAAGGTCGCGCGCGTCGGCGACAGGGCGGCCGCGATTGGAGGGCCACCCAGGCGAGTGCAAAGATCAAGCTGGACTTCTTCACTCGTTGGCACGCGCAGGTGCAAGAGTTGGCCTTGGAGGTGGCCACATTTGATTGCAACTATCACGTCGAAGACGCCCTGCAGGCATGCGAGAAACACTTCTCGCACTCCATCTCCACGGGCGTCGATGCGGGCTTGTGGCACGACGGCCTCAATGACGCCACGACCCTCGACCAGTACTTGGAGAAGGCCAAGGAGAGATCTTCAAGATCTGTCGCCCCCCGGCGCTCAAGACTGCGATTGATGTGGTGTCGGTGAAGCTTGCGGCGGCCAAGAGCAGCCGCGATCTCCACGGCGACAAGGACGAGGGCCGCCACGCTGTGGTGGAAGACATCGCTACCAAGCTTGGCCGTGCCAAGGTGACCCAGGCTGAGTGTCTCATGCTCGCGTGCTGCAGGGACTTCGCCGACGCCCCGCTGAAGCTCAAGAGGAACATCAAGATCCACCTCAGCAACCTCAGCTCCAAGGAGAGCAGTCTCATCCCGAAGAGTTTGATGCGCATATTTGAGGAGAAGGCTGATGTCTGGCGCAAGGCAGAGCCCAAAATGCCGATTTGCCCACCGTAGGTGGCGACAGCAAAACGGGCTCAGTGATGTGTATTTTAAGCTATACGAGTATGTTGCTTGTGCGTTCTCGCGGTGCCGACTCTGGAGTTGTGCTGTCGACCGCGGCCCTTGGCGAGCGAGCTTCGCTCGTGGCCCGCCTGGTCGCGTGATTGTGCACGCTGGTGTGTTCATGATATATGTGCGTACGAGAGAAGCATGAATAATTACCCAACAATACATACCAACACAGATTATTGAACACACGATTGTTTCAGGCTGTTGCTGATCACTGTGACAGGAACGAGTTGCCGCAGCCTGCGGCTACATACCCATTGCTTGGAAAGCATGAGATCGTCTTTCCTGCTACCGCCGCCGCCCGCTGCTGCCGCGGAGGAAGGAGGAGGAAGGAGAAGGACGGAAAGGAGTGAGGAGGAAGGAGGAGGAAGAGGGGGGGGAGGAGGAAGGGAGGACGACCAGGGAAGGAGCAGGGAGGACGACTAAGAAGGAGGGAGGCGAGGGGCGACTCCCCTCCCCTTCCTCCTCTTCCTCCTCGCTCCTCTCCTCCTCCCCTTTGCCCTTTTCGTTTGTTGGCTCACAGCTACTACTGCTAGCGGCTATTGGTGGCAATGCTGCTGCGAGCGCAGTGCCACCACCGCAACCGCAACCCCGAACACCCACGTTCACCTTCGCAACAGCCATAGCCACGACCCGCAAACCTACCGCCACCAATGGCGCGCCAACTCACGCCTACAAGGCGCGACGCCACCCGCTCCAGCTGCGCCGCGGCCTGTGGAAGTGTCACAGCGCGGATCACGACCATGACCACTGCCAAGCACGGACTCCACTCCAGGGCTCTCGTGCGGCTCACAATGCCACCGCCGCAGAAACCAGAGACTATGGCCACTACCACTACCATCGCAGCAGCCCCTTCCGCTGCCGCTGCCCCTTGTCACTATCAACCTTTATGTCATCACCCCTGCCGCTGCCGCGGCCACGACCATGCTGGCTCGCGCGGCACAGCTCGAACAACTCGTAGAGCCAACGACGCAAACAACACAGTGTAACCAACGCGGCAACACGAAGAGACGACACCAACATGAGGGCAACATTCCCAGCGACGGTATTGCTCCGAATCATGTTGGCGGTGACAAGCATTCGCCACGTGGCACGGTAATGCCTGTTGGGGCGAACACGCAGGCGACGGCGGGCTTTCGAATCTTTCCTTCAGGGCGATCACGTTGCGCCGCCATGCGGCATTGTGATTATTTTTCTGGCGACCATCTTGGCGACCACATTGGGTGGCATTTTTTTTTTTTGGCGACCATTTTGGCGACCATATGGGTTACCATATCGATTTTTGGCGACCATTTGGGCGACCATATGGGTTACCATATCGGTTTTTGGCGACCATTCGGGCGACCATAGCGGCGACCATTCGGCGACCACTTTGATGCCCCCCCCGCTGTTGGGTACTAGGGACGTCACGGTTCTAAGAAGAAGATAGGCTCTACCACCCTCCACCCCCCCGGGGTTAAAGACCCCCCTGGCACCGAAGCAAAACACATAGGATTCAGACCCAATGTCCATCCTACCTGTGAGTTCAGATTATCCCAACCAAACCGGTATCGACCCCCCGCCATCTTCTACAACAAATACTATGCGCGCGCACTCGTTTATCAAACAAGTCATAAGTTTTCAAGAATCACTTGCACAAAAAGTGACGAAGTGCACACGCGCGCGTTGTCGCGCGTGCATGCCGAAATCCTTCAAACACCTTCGGTTTCGGAAGGATTTCAAAATCGAATTCCCCCAAAACATACAAAAACAAAAAGGTTCCGCAACACTGATCTTCTAAAAAAGCCTACGCGCGCGCTCTTGCGAAAACTGAGCAAAAATCATATGTTTTTTTCAATAGCTTCAACACATACTACCAAACGGGATTCGCGCGCGCAGATCGAAATCGTTCGAGCGCCCTTGCGCGCGTGCCGTCGCGAGAACCGCCTGCAAACAATTAGACGAAGTGCACACGCGCGCGCGTCGTCGCGCGTGCATGCCGAAAACCTTCAAAACACATAGTTTTCGGAAGGCTTTCAACATCGAGCGTCCGAAAAACATAAAACGCAAGGTTTCGCAACACGTATTTTCAACAAAATGTGCGCACGCGCTCTTTCCCTCGTCGTCGTCGTCGCCGTCGTCGTCCTCTGTCTTGCCTCGTTGTCGTCGTCGTCCTCTTTGGCGGCGTCGTCGTTTCCGTCGTCGTTGTCGCCGTGGTCGTCCTTCCTCCTCCTTCGTCGTCGTCGTCGTTCGTCGTCAGGCGTCTCGTCGTCGTCACTATTTCGTCGCCGTCGTCGTCGTCGTCGTCGTCGTCGTCGTCGTCGTCTTCCCTCCTCCCTCGTCGTTGTCGTCGTCGGCGTCGCCGTCCTCTCTCCTTCTTCGTCATTCGCGTCGTCGCCGTCCTCCCTCCTTCCTCGTCGGTGTTGCCGTCGTCGTTCTCCCTCCTCCCTCCTCCTTCGTCGTCGTCTTCGTTGGCGACGTCGTCGTCGTCGTCGTCGTCGTCCTCTTTGGCGTCGTTGTCGTTTCCGTGGTCGTCGTCGTCGTCGTTGTCGTCCTCGTCGCCGTCGTCGTCGTCGTCGGCGTTGTCATCGTCGTCGTCGTCTGCGTCGTCGTCGTCGTCGGTGTCGTCGTCGTCGTCGTCGTTGTCGTTGTCGTCGTCGTTGAAGTCGTTGGAGACGACGTCGGTGTCGTCGTAGTCGGTGTCGGGGGCGTCGTCGTCGTCGTTGTCGCTGCCGTCGTCGGCGTCGGCGTCGCTGCCAAGTGCCATTTGGTACGTACCGTCACGGACTCAAGAGGTATTGCGAGCAAGTTGGTTGCGGGTGGGATGGTGGGGTGTTTGCGGGAACAGTGGAGACGACAGCTTCAAGTTGAGCAACTGATTGGTTGCTCCGCATAGATTGCACCACGTAGATTGCTCCACATCGAGTTCTTCACATATATTGCACCAAATAAGTTGCACGGCTTAGATGGCACAACACAGATTGTACAACGTACATCGCACCACACATAATGGACCACGTGAGTTATTCAATCAAGATTGCACACCACATGTCGCACCACATAGATTCTCCTTTCTAATCAAGAGAATAGGTTCTACCACCCGCCCCCCCCCGGGGGTTATCTATTCCCCGGGAACCGATGCAAAGCACAGGGTTCTGCCCCATCGTCCATCCTAACTTTGAATTTGCACTATCCCAGGGTGACTGGTATCGACCCCCCGCCATCCGTCGTAACAAAAGACAATGCGCGCACACTCGTTTATCAAAACTCAGAAATTTCCAAGAACCCCTGGCAAACCATTGGACGAAGTGCACACGCGCGCGTCGTCGCGCGTGCGTGCCGAAAACCTTCAAAACCCATCGGTTTCGGAAGGATGTCAAAATCGAGCGTCCAAAAAACATACAAACACACAAGGTTTCGCAACACGGATTTCCAACAAAAGCGTGCGCGCGCTCTTGCGTCGTCGTCGTCGTCGTCGCCATCGTCGTTCTCTGTCTTTCCTCGTCATTGTCGTCGTCGTCCTCCTCTTTGGCGTCGTCGTCGTTTCCGTCGTCGTTGTCGCCGTGGCCGTCCTTCCTCCTCCCTCGTCGTCGTCGTCGTCCGTCGTCGGCTTCTCGTCGTCGTCCCTCCTATTTCGTCGCCGTCGTCGTCGTTGTCGTCGTCTTCCCTCCTCCTTCGTCGTTGTCGTCGGCGTCGCCGTCCTCCCTCCTTCTTCGTCGCTCGCGTCGTCGCCGTCCTCCCTCCTCCCTTATCGTTGTCGTCGTTGTTGCCGTCTTCGTCCTCCCTCCTCCCTCGTCGTCGTCGTCGGCGTCGTCTTCGTGGTCGGCGTCGTCGTCGTCGTCGTCGGCGTCGTCGTCGTCGTCGTCGGCGTCGTCGTCGCCGTCGTCGGCGTCGTCAGCGTCGTCGTCGCCGTCGCCGTCGGCGTCGTCGTCGTCTGTGTCGCTGTTGTCGTCGTCGTCGTTGTCGCCGTCGGCGTCGGCGTCGCTGTCGTTGCCAAGTGCCATGTGGTACCCACCGTCACGGTCTTAAGAAGTCTTGCCAAGTTGCGGACGGGAGGGACAGCTCCAAGACAGTCAAAGTGAAATGCACCACATATCTTGTGCCGTGTACGTTGCCGCACAAAGATTCCACCACAGGCATTGCACCACGCAAAATTTCACAACATAGATTACAACACGCAACTTCTCCGTTCAAAAATGGCATTGGGATCCACCACGCCCCCGCGGCCAGGACTACCGGTCCGAGTTCGTCCCATCCCAGCCAAGCTGGGTTCGTCCCCCAACCATTCTTTGCATAAAAACACTCTGCGCGCACACTCGATTATCAAAAGTCGTCAACTTGTAAGAACCCTTTGTAAGAACAAAGTGCGCGCGCGCGTCGTCGCGTGCATGGCGAAATCATTCAACAACAGTCGGTATCGTACGGATTTAAAAGTCGGGTGTTCCGAGAACATATTGTATTGGAACACGTTGCTTTTCACCGTGCCCCCCCTTGAAAAAGTCGACGCGCGCGCTCTTGCGAATGCTGAAGAAAGTCATGATATTCTCAGTCTCACCAAATGCGACCAAGCGGGCCTCATTCACCCGCATGCCGAAATCATTATAACGCCCTTGCGCGCGTCCTGGGGGACACGATCCCTGTCAAAGAAAGCCATGGTGGCCACTCGCGCGCGTCGGCCGGGCGCGTATTCCACAATCCTTCCAAAGCCTGCATCGCCGACTTTTGAACACCATCATCTTCACCGACGTGATCAGCATCGGCGCCGTCATTCGCCTGGCTGTCGTCAACGTCATCATCGTCACCAACATCGCTACTATCATCACTGTGTCTGCTGTTGTCGACGTCGCCATGATACATCGCCCGCCCGGATCACCAAGTCGCATCAGCGCGGCCTGCGAGACGTGTTGGGAAGTGCCCTGGGGTCAGC